CCCCTCCCCATTTTTTAACTAGTTGTTAAGTACAGCACCGTTTCCGTTCAATTGAACATTCGATTACTTTTTTATGTACTGAACGCAGCCCTGACAAATAACTAATTGATCAGTTGAGTGATTGCCTAGATTCAACAAACCTGGTCTTCCAGGTCGGTTAAATCAAAAACATGAAGTGCCTGCGGCACTCCAGGACCAGGGTTCCATGCTTATGAACTGAATATTGCATGTGAATTTCCATATATCAATGACACTAACAAAAGGGTTGAATTGTTCAGCAACATGTGCAGTAAATGCTAACACGGCTTTGGTGATGAAAGGTACATAATGCATTTATTGTCATCTCCCTATTGGTGACACATCTTCATGCTGCCTGACTGAAGACTGTGGCCTTCGGTGGTACACTCTCTGTCTCGCAGCCATTCGGTCAACATGTACACTACCGTTCAAAAGTTTGGGGTCACTTGGAAATGTCCTTGTTTTCCATGAAAACATACATGAAATGAGTTTGAATAGGAAATATAGCAAAATGCATAGGAAATGTAGTAATTGACAAGGTTAGAAATAATTATTTTTAACTGAAATAATAATTGTGTCCTTCAAACTTTGCTTTCGTTAAAGAATCCTCCATTTGCAGCAATTACAGCCTTGTAGACCTTTGGCATTCTAGTTGTCAATTTGTTGAGGTAATCTGAAGAGATTTCAACCAATGCTTCCTGAAGCACTTCCCACAAGTTGGATTGGCTTGATGGGCACTTCTTATGTACCGTACGGTCAAGCTGCTCCCACAACAGCTCAATAGGGTTGAGATCCGGTGACTGTGCTGGCCACTCCATTATAGACAGAATACCAGCTGACTGCTTCTTCAAGCGCCGTCCACAAGGTATGGCATGGTGTTGCAAAATGGAGGGATAGCCTTCCTTCTTCAAGATCCCTTTTACATTGTACAAATCTCCCACTTTACCACCACCAAAGCACCCCCAGACCATCACATTGCCTCCTCCATGCTTGACAGATGGCATCAAGCACTCCTCCAGCATCTTTTCATTTGGTCTGCGTCTCACAAATGTTCTTCTTTGTGATCCGAACACCTTAAACTTCGATTCGTCTGTCCATAACACTTTTTTCCAATCTTCCTCTGTCCAGAGTCTGTGTTCTTTTGCCCATCTTAATCTTTTATTTTTATTGGCCAGTCTGAGATATGTATTTTTCTTTCCAACTCTGCTTAGAAGGTCAGCATCCCGGAGTCGCCTCTTCACTGTTGACGTTGAGACTGGTGTTTTGCTGGTACTATTTAATGAAGCTGCCAGTTGTGGACCTGTGAGGCGTCTGTTTCTCAAACTAGACACTCTAATGTATTTGTCCTCTTGCTCAGTTGTGCACCGGGGCCTCCCACTCCTCTTTCTATTCTGGTTAGAGCCAGTTTGCGCTGTTCTGTGAAGGGAGCAGGACACAGCGTTGTACGAGATCTTCAGTTTCTTGGCAATTTCTCGCATGGAATAGCCTTAATTTCTCAGAACAAGAATAGACTGACGAGTTTCAGAAGAAAGTTCTTTGTTTCTGGCCATTTTGATTCTGTAATCGAACCCACAATTGCTGATGCTCCAGATACTCAACTATTTTCAAGAAGGCCAGTTTTATTGCTTCTTTAATCAGCACAACAGTTTTCAGCTGTGCTAACATAATTGCAAAAGGGTTTTCTAATGATCAATTATCCTTTTAAAATGATAAACTTGGATTAGCAAACACAACGTGCCATTGGAACACAGGACTGATGGTTGCTGATAAAGGGCCTCTGTACGCCTATGTAGATATTCCATAAAAAATCTGCCGTTTCCAGCTACAATAGCCATTTACAACATTAACAATGTCTACACTGTATTTCTGATCAATTTAATGTTATTTTAATGGAAATTTGATTTTCTTTCGAAAACAAGGACATTTCTAAGTGACCCCAAACCTTTGAACGGTAGTGTATGTAACCACTCAAATTCATACCAACAGCTACGGACGTAAGCACTGACTTATATTCACTTTGTCTACTTGTCCCATTCTTCTATCTTGTCTGGGATATATATTTTAGTTGACACACCTGTGTGATGTCTGATATACTTGAATAAAAAGGTATTCACCCTGGCCATGAGACTTGCATTTACTTTAGACCGTTTGAATCATAAGTGTTGTCTTTGCGTTTAAGTTAGCACAGAAGTTAGTCAAAGTTAGTGTGACAAACATGCTACGAAAAAGTTGTTGTTTTGTAATCTAACAATCAAATAAAAAATAGTTTATACAAAACTGTATTGCATTTGGTCATCCCCAAAATGTGTCCTTTAAAAGCCTTGATTGTGGCATCCTTCCTCAGGGAACTGTCTGCATATAGCTGACAACAGGGTGGCAGGTTTGTTCATGTACTGCTCTAGATTTCCATAGCCCAGCAGACTCACCTGGGGATAGGGTGATGGACATGTTAGTTTTGATAGAAGTCTGGGAGACTTTTACAGGGAGGAGAGTGTGAGTACAGTAAATCCAATCCAACCAGTGGCTCTGGATAATATGCTATGCCATCATACAGGCAGACTGCCACAGTGAAGGAGGTTTACATGGTGCATCAACTATACTATTTTGAGTGTAGCTTACTGCTCTGGAGAGATCGCAGGTAGTTGGTCAGAAGGCTCTGGAGGACCTTGAACCATTCTGTCTCTGTAGCACCTGGAGAGAGATGGATAGAGGTAATGAGTGCTAGAAAGAGAGAGAGCCCTCACCCCTGACCTCCCACTGGCCCAGGGCCTCCTGCCTAGTATCATACAATGTAAAGGAAAACAATAATATCATTACTACAGAGTGCTCCATGTTCCTGCTGGTAGCAAGCCTCAACCTGGATGCAGAGAAATGTCCTGCCTTGTAGTGTGGTTGCATCCATCTCCACAAGGATCCAAGAAATCAGATGACAAACCTGCAGAGATGAACAATAAAATGGTACCTGTATTTAGGATAATGTATCAGTATGCCTATTTCACATTCATGTCTGTAAATGACAATAGATCTGGTTAAAAGTCTGCATGCCATTTTGTGATAACGGCTATGACAAATTGCATGGCATACATGTGAATTTATAGCTAACTAAGATAGTATTGATATTTTAGAGCACCACGTCTCATCTCACTACATTAACAATTGCTAAGGCGAACAGTAAATTCCACTATAGTGGCTAATTCGTATTGTGGCTAGCTTCAGATAGGTGACTTATTCCATCCTGACAACTTGCTCGTCCTTACTTGACTGTAGTTAGCTAGCTGCTAGCTTATTAATTAGCTAAGTATCCACTCTATTGCTTAATAATCAAATAAAAAAAAATGGTCACATGCGCCGAATACAACAGGTGTAGACCTTACAGTGAAATGCTTACTTACAAGCCCTTAACCAACAATGCAGTTTTAAGAAAAAAAAAGTGTTAAGTAAAAAATAGATAAGTAAAAAAATACAAATAACAAACTATTAAAGAGCATCAGTAAATAAGTGATCTAGTTAACGTGAGCTAGCAAACATGCATTGCTTCTGACATGACGCAATCCTGCTTGCTTTACATCTGACAGATATTTAGCTACCGAGATAATAATGGTTTATGATAATTTCAGTTTAGTTTATTATGTAGCTATGAGCTAGCTAAGTGTAAAACTGAGTCTGGCTGTAAAATGCAGCTAGCTAGCCAACTCGACTTTATCAGTTGGAGCCATACTTGGTAATGTTAGCTTACCATGCTTTTCTGGACAACTGGACATTCCTCTCGTCCATCCCGGTCGGCTCCTTCTTGCGACTCCTTCTTAACTCTTGGTCTTCTTCTAGGTTTAAAACTATATGGCTGTGGTCTGGTGCCTTATTGTCAAAAGCAACCCACTCGTAACCCAGCCACCTGGTGCAGGCAGGCAGTCAATGGCTCAGTATTTCAAAACTGTTCACCCGTTTCTACATATAGCAAGGACAATGTTCCATTTGTTCTTTTTGTGTGTTATTATGGTGCACGTGAGGCACAGCAGCATATAATATATTTTATCTCCAATTTCCCCTCAAAAAGTAACATCATATTGATACATAGCTATATGTGCTACACACTATTGCTTGGGGGGTGAGAATGTGAAACATGGCCTTTAAACTTTGAACCCGTTCTGTCATACTGAATGCAGCCCAGGCAAATGTAATTGATCATCGCGCCATGGCATTGATCAACCAATGGTGTGACCCACATACATTTGCTTGACACCACCTCATTATTATACTGGAGGAAGAAATACAGAAATAAATAAATAATATAAATGAATAAAATGAAAGAAAGTGGGATTCCTTTTTTAAATAATTATTTATCTATTTATGTGTGCAATCATTCATCCATTAATTTATTTATCTAATTATGTGTGCATGTATTTATTAATTAATTCCATTATAATTATGGCAGCTTTGGTCCTCCATATTAGAACCACAAGTTCCATTCCTAATGTAAAAAAATATTATGTGTGTGTGATTACTACATGTGGTGGTGAGGAATATAATTAAAGAGCTGGACTGAGAAGCATCTGTACTGTTCTGGCCAGACAGGCTGCAGTGAGTCAGAACCTTAACTATCATCATTAAGTCCACAGTGGGTGAGGGCATCCAAGCCAACCGCTCAGGTGGCTAGATGTTTTTTTCAACTAAACTGTCACATCTAAACTTAACTCTCTAAGCTCTAAACTATTTTAATATGTGTGGGGAAATAACACTTTTTGTATTTGAATATATTTTTATTAAACACGTAGAACAGTAGAGAGGAGACAGGAAAGTGAGGAGAGAAGTGTGTGTCAAAATAGTCGTGTGGCAAGAAATTGACACGGACATGGAGAGTAAATGTTCCGCAGGTGGAGGTGCTAACCATTACACCAACCCCAGGCACTAAGCTCTAAACTCAACTCTCTAAACTGTAAACTGAGTGAAGGGTTAGAAGAGGTCAGAGGTCGGGGGTTAGTTACCTGTTTGATAGCGCTGAGCAGCTTGCCGTAGCTGTACAGTATGACAGAGAAAGGCAGTAACAGACAGAAGATGAACAGACAGACGATGTAGGAGATGTTGTTGGGTGTCTGGGTCCTCCAGTCCACTGAACAGGTGGTCCCTAGAACACAGTACAACAATACACACTGTCAATATGAATACTGTTACTATGAATACTGTTACTCTTACTATGAATACTGTTACTATGAATACTGCTACTATGAATACTGTTTCTGTTACTATGAATACTATTTATGTTACTATGAATACTGTTACTATGAATACTGTTACTGTTATTATGAATACTGTTACTATGAATACTGTTACTATGAATACTGTTACTATGAATACTTTTACTGTTACTATGAATATTGTTACTATGAATACTGTTACTATGCAGACTTTTACTATGAATACTGTTACTATTAATACTGTTACTATGAATACTGTTACTGTTACTATGAAGACTGTTACTATGAATACTATTACTGTTACTATGAATACTGTTACTATGCATACTTTTACTATGAATACTGTTACTAGATAATAAATACTGTAGTTCCATATGCCACAGATTTTCATTAAATGGAAGACTTCTTATTGTCCCTTCACGCACACACACACACACACACGCATGCTCGCACGCACGCACCTGGGCCCTCGGGGCCGTAGCTGCTCCAGCCCAGCAGCGGGGGTAGTGTCCAGGCCAGGGCATAGACCCAGGAGAAACACACTCCGGCCACCGCTGTACCGAAGTCAGTGCCGTCCGCCTGCGTCCGACACAGCATGGTACAGCAACGCTCATAGGACAGCACTGCCAGGGAGATCAGAGACACGATACCTGGAACACACACACAAGTGTCCGGAGAGTAAGAGGGAGATTTATACTCCTACCCCGAAGTTAATTGTATGCTTAATCACTTTATGCTACTGTTGAAGTTCATTAAGAAAATCTGATTCAAGATCCCGACAAAAGTGCTGATGCAGCTCTGCTGAACATTAAAACATTAGACCTGGCCAGGCCAAATACATTTAGTGAATACTTTCAGCTGAGCTGGGTTGGTCGGCAAAATGACATTATTTCAATTGGTTAAGGTTAGGGTTAGGGGTTGTGGAAGGCTAAGTTTAGTCGATAAATGTGATAGGTTACGACACACGCACACTATGCTACTCACCCAAACAGGAGTTGATGAAGCCATACCAGACGCATCCCGCCCTACCGATCAGCCACCGGCCCTGTGTGGCAGCGGCGAAGCTGAACGGTGTCCCGAGCACACAGACCAGCAGGTCCGAAACACACACACTCAACAGCAAGACGTTGATGGGCGTACGCAGTGTACGGTACCGGCAGAATAACGTTAACACCAGGAGGTTGTTGAGGAAACCGAATGTACCTATGAACCCCAGACACACTGCCACTACGAGATGTCCAGTAGGACTCAGAGAACCTGAACCTCCTCCCTGCGTGACCACCGTCTTACTGTCACTGACTTCCCATGGGCAGCTCACGCCGCAGCTCAGACTGACGTTAGACACTATCATACCGGCCCAGTTAGTTACTCTAAGGGTGGCCGGTGGAGTTTGGAGGAGAGATAATCCATTTGGTTTGGTCTCTCTCTCTGTCAGCCCATCACGAGATGAGCATAAACAGCCGCGTGAAACATTGTAGTGTTTACTCACATTAAACTCGCCTCATGGGCTGGAGAGAAAAAGGACACCGCTAAAAAAGTTAATTTCCTTTCACTGTTAGCTGAAAAACAACATCTCTTCATCAAGTGAAGCAACTCCGAATTCCACTGGGTAGAAACGGCAGTCCTCTCGTGCGCACCGCTCACCGACTGGCTGCGTAAAGTTCTGTTAACTCTCAGTGAAGGATGTGTGTGTGTTTACCTCCCCGCGCTCCACCGTGTGTACTCGGAGGTTATTGTGCTCTGCCGGACACCAGGAGTCTGCTCGCGCTTTTAAAGATGTGACGTGACATATCCTGATGCAAAAGAGGGTTAGGAAAATGATTGGTTGGGAAAGGGAGCACGGGCAGCAAAAGGGGTAATTTAATAATAATAATAATAATAATAATAATGTTTCATTGTCACATACACAAATAGGTGCAGTGCAATATGTTATTTTACAGGGTCAGCCATAGTAGTTGAGTAGTATGGCGCCCCTGGAGCAAATTAGGGCTAAGTGCCTTGCTCAAGGGCACATCGACAGATTTCCCACCTTGTCGGCTCAGGTATTCGAACCAGCGACCTTAGTTACTGGCTCAACGCTGATAAGAGAGAAAGGGATGGATAGAGATCGAGGGAGAGGGAGAGAGAGGATATGTCTCTCTTCCTCAGTGTTTTATTCATAAAACTGATGTTTGTTGATGATATATCCTTTCAACAAAACAGGAAACTGGAAATACCTCTCTCCAAACCTGCCATATTCATTCTCCTCTCTAATGAATTGGGTTCCCACCAACCTGTTGTTCTTCAAAACAAACATACTGAACCTACATAGATGACAGATGCGTGGTCGGTGTGATGTAGCCTGCACATTTCAGCACCTTGGACAGCACCTTTCAGGCAGAACGTTTGATGGACATATGGAAGCCAGATTTTAGTTTCTCTGAAACAGTGATTTCTGATTCTTCTAGTTATTATTATAAGGGAGAAAATGTAGAACAATTTCGGAGCAATAGAAAAGCAGTAGCTAGAGCGATGATTCTGATTGGGTTAGGTCAGCCAATTGTAACTGACGCACTCAA